CAGGCGCCTGTAATCGCAGCTACTCAGGAGGCTGAGGTAGGAGAATTGCTTGACCCTGGGAAGCGGAGGTTGCAGTGAGCTGAGATCGCGCCACTGCACTCCAGCCTGGGCGACGGTGCAAGACTCCATCTAATGTCAAAAAAAAAAAAAAAAAAAAAAAAAAGCCCTAAAAGACCTCTGGTGGCCAGGCACAGTGATTCACGCCTGTAATCCCAGCACTTTGGGAGGCCGAGGTGGGCAGACCACCTGAGGTCGGGAGTTCAAGACCAGCCTGGCCAACAGGGTGAAATCCCATCTCTACTAAAAATACAAAACTTAGCTGGGCGTGCTGGTTGGCGCCTGTAGTCCCAGCTACTTGGGAGGCTGAGGCTGAGGCACAAGAATCACTTGAACGCAGGAGGCAGAGGTTACAGTGATCCAAGATTGCACCACTGCACTCCAGCCTGGGCCGGAGAACAAGACTCTGACTCACAACAAAACAAAGCACTCTTTGGTGATTCTTATAATCAGTCTGGTTTGGAAACTATCCATGCTGTCAACCTTAATGGAGGGATTCTCAAACTTCAGGCACCTGTTAAAATGCAGATCCCCTATGTGTTGGGTGGGGCCCCCACACTCCTATTCTAATAAGCTTCCCAGGAGATTCTGATACAGGTGGGCCTTCACCTGTCTTTTAGCTGGTGAATGTTTTGATTCTATTGTTGCATGTCTCTGAAAGGTGCAGACACTACGCTACCCTACACAAAACTTCCCTGAGCAAGTGGTTAAATACACAACTAGACGCAGAAAGGGTGATCATGAGGAGGTAACAGGATTTTCAGGGCTTCATGATCCCCAGTATGTGGTTTATAGCATTTCTAAGTAGGAGACCAACCAGGAAAATGAAGTGGAAGTGCAAGAGTCTTTAAAGGCATTGCGGAGATTACTCTTCTAGTAATGGGGATCCAATAAATACAGGCTACACAGATTTGGACTGTAAGATATTACATCTCTGAGAACAGTAGTTCTCAAATGGGGGTGATTTTACACACAGGTCATTTGGCAATGTCTGGAGACACTTCCGGTTGTCAGAGCCGTATGTGTGCGTGTGTGTATGCTGTGGGCATCTAGTGGGTAGAGGCCTGGGATGTCGCTAAATACCCTACAATGCACAGGACGGCCTTCATAATGGACAACTAACTGGTCCAAAATATCAATAGTGTGAAGGTTGAGAAATCTTGCTCTAGAGGAGCTGGTTTCAAGATGTGAGGACTCTGGGGACAATAGGGGTTAAAAGAACAATCAATTCATCCACCTCTCCACTTACATTTCTTTTTTTTTTTTTTTTTCCAAGACGGAGTTTCGCTCTTATTGCCCAGGCTGGAGTGCAATGGTGCGATCTCGGCTCACTGCAACCTCTGCCTCCTGGGTTCAAGCAGTTCTCCTGCCTTGGCCTCCCGAGTAGCTAGGCACAGGCACCCACCACCACGCCCAGCTAATTTTTCATATTTTTAGTAGAGACGGGGTTTGATCATGTTGGCCAGGCTGGTCTCAAACTCCTGACTTCAGGTGACCCACCCGCCTCAGCCTCCCCAAGTACTGGGATTACAGGCGTGAGCCACCACACCTGGCATCCACTTACAATTTCTTACAGGCCAGGAGGCCCTGGGGCTATGCAGATGAATAACTCATACTTCTGCTCTTCAAAAACATATAATCGGATAGTTTACAATAATTACAGAATGCTACATTAGCAGGGTTGTACACTAGAATCTCTCGGAGGTACTTACTAAAATAGGATTCCCAGGCTCCACAGACCTATCAAGTCAGAATCTCCAGTGAAGGGGTCAAAAACCTCTCTGGTTTTTTGGGGTCCTGTGCTGGAGATTCTGTTCCAGTGATGGGGAGGTGAGGGGGGCTGTCAGAGGGACAATTTGAAGACCAGCCTGACTGGGGCTAGAAGGGCAGTGAACGGGTACAAGCAAGAAGTATTCCAGGGAGACAGATTACTATGTGCAAAGACACAGCCACTGACCTTTCTAGGTGAATCTACTCACACATCTGAGTACCCAGTTCTCCATCAGTAACTCCAGAAATTTACTGGATTAAAAGCAGAGGAAAAATAAGGGCCAAGAAAATGTTTCCCAAACAAGGAAGCAGAAAGTCTGCCATATGGGGATAAGGTTTTAGGGCAGCCTATGATACTTGGCAACAATATCCTCATAAGAAGTTAATCTTTTACTAGATGTAATTAGCAACCTCTCATTTACCATCATTTCCCAGTTGCTCCTGCACTTTCTCAAAGTCCGAACCGCCTACCACTCCGATTTTGATCTTCTGCCTCAATTTCTGCAGGAAGTCATCCATTTCTTTGGTAATTTTCTAAATTTCAAGAAGGAAAATACAACACTCATAAGCCAAAAAATAATAAGGAGACTAAAACTCTAAGGGTAACACAAGTACACAAATCTTATTTTCTTATTTAAAAATTAAAGAAAAAAATTGTTTTTGACATAGGGTCTCACTTGTCACCCAAGCTGGAGTGCAGCGGCATGGTCATAGCTCACCACAGCCTCGACCTCGACCGGGGCTCCGGTGATCCTCCTACCTCAGCCTCCTGAGTAGATGGAACCACAGTTATGCGCCAGCACACCTGGCTAATTTTTTTTATATTCTGTAGAGACGAAGTTTTGAGGCCAGTCTGGAACTCCTGGGTTCAGGAGATCCACCAGCCTTGGTCTCCCAAAGTGCTGACATTACAGGCATAAGTCAGGCCTATAAGCCTTATTTTCATACATGCCAATTAAGTTACCAGCTCTCTACACAGTTCAAATATTTTAGTTGTAATTGGGAGGGAGGCATCTTTACCAGAATAAACTCAAGTGTTATTTTTACCACATTTTAAACACAGCTAATATGTTAGTAGCTGTTGTGCACTGTGCTAGCTAATTTTTTACGCATTTATATACCCATCTATGGGCACATATACAAATAGGTCTTATTTTTGAAACATAAATGGAATCATTCTATGTCCTTTGCAGCAACTTCGCTTTTTCAGCAACTTCGCTTCTTCAGCATGATGTATTCCTTTTAAATGCTACACTGTACTCCATCTATGGATTTAAGTTGTTGATTTTAAAACAAAATAACATAATAAAATTAAAGAGGAAGCTCAGGGCCAGGCATGGCGGCTCACGCCTGTAATCCCAGCACTTTGGGAGGCCGAGGCCGGTGGATCACCTGAGGTCAGAGTTCGAGACCAGCCTGGCCCACATGGCGAAACCCCATCTCTACTAAAAATACAAAAATTAGCCGGGTGTGGTGGCACGCACCTGTAGTCCCAGGTACTCGGGAGGTTGATGCAGGAGAATCACTTGAACCTGGCAGGCGGAGGCTGCAGTGAGCCGAGATCGTGCCCCTGCACTCCAGCCTGGGTGACAGAGCGAGACTACGTCTTGATAAATAAATAAATAAATAAATAAATAGGAGAAGCTTAGAACTGATTTATTGCAATTACTCAAAACAAAAAAAATTGGAAGAGTAAGATGACTAGATTTTTTAGTCTTTTCTAAAAGCAAAGCTCCTATCTAGAAAGAGTGGTCTTAGTGGTATGACTTTATGGTAAATTCCAAACTGTGTGATAATTTTTAAAAAGTTATAAACTAAGATGAAAAACAGCCCTACATTAAGACACATCACAATGTATTTTTACAAGTCTTATAACTCAGTACTTTGAGCAATCTTAGTTGAACATTTACACTGAATGTCTGTTTTTTTTTTTTGACACGAAGTTGCGCTCTGTCACCCAGGCTGGAGTGCAGTGGTGTGGTCTTGGCTCACTGCAACCTCCATTTCCTGGGTTCAAGCGATTCTCCTGTCTCAGTCTCCCAGGTAGCCAGGACTACAGGCGCCCGCCATCACGCTCAGCTAATTTTTTGTATTTTTATTAGAGACAGGGTTTCACCATGTTGGCCAGGCTGGTCTCGAACTCCTGACCTCAAGTGATCCGCCCGCCTCAGCCTCCCAAAGTGCTGGGATTATAGGCGTTAGCTACCGCGCCCGGCTGAATGTCTTTTTTTTGAGACAGAGTCTCGCTGTGTCTCCCAGGCTGGAGTGCAGTGGCACCATCTCCACTCACTGCAAGCTCCGCCCCCCGGGTTCACGTCATTCTCCTGCCTCAGCATCCCGTGTAGCTGGGACTACAGGCTAATTTTTTGTATTTTTAGTAGAGACGGGGTTTCACAGCATGAGCCAGGATGGTCTCGATCTCCTGACCTCGTGATCCGCCCGCGGCCTTCCAAAGTGCTGGGATTACAGGCGTGAGCCACCGCGCCTGGCCCTGAATATCTTTTTTAAAAAGTTATTAGAAATTTAGAAAATACAAAAAACCATTTAATTCACCCTCAGTATATAAACACTTGGAGTTCAATGATTTTTCTTTAAAAAATTTTTTTAGAGTAACACATTAATCTGATTAAAATAAAACTGCATAGAAGGGCTTGTAATAGAGTGCAATCTTTTCTACTCTCACAGTGGAATTTGAACCTATTAGACAAAATCTAGAACTGCAGGAGTGGCCCTTAAGAGTCAGAACGCAGTGGCTCATGCCTGTAATCCCGGAACTTTGGGAGGCTGAGGCAGGTGGATCACAAAGTCCAGAGATGGAGACCATCCTGGCCAAAATGGTGAAACCCTGTCTCTACTAAAAATACAAAAATTAGCCAGGCATGGTGGCGGGCACCTTAAGTCCCAGCTACTCAGGAGCCTGAGGCAGGAGAATCGCTTGAACCTGGGAGGCAGAGGTTGCAGTGAACTGAGATTGCACCACTACACTCCAGCCTGGCGACAGAGTGAGACTCTGTCTAAAAAAAAAAAAAAAAAAAAAAGAAGAGTCAGAACTGTGAAAATCAGATCAGAAGCACTTTCCTGAATGGCATACCCAGTAACTAGGACAGCTTCCACCTTAGCACAGATAGGAAATGGCAAACTTGACAGGAACCAATGTCCTGAGGCTCAGGGGCTTGTACCAGGTCGGCTGTGTGAAACTGAGGTTAGTTCTTCACTGAGTGTGTTTCCTTATGTTTAAAAAGGTAATAACAACTATCCTACCTGGAAATAAAGATGAAGGAAGGTTGAGAGGGTCCAGCGAAATCATGAAAAACGGTTGGCAATGTAAACCCTAGACCGCTATGGCCCACAGACCACACTGGGCAGCTGTTTGTTTCTGTAACAAATAAATACAGTTTTACCGGTACACAGCCACTCTGTGTTTACATAGGGTTTATGGCTGGTTTTGTACTAAAGTTCAGTGGCTACTATAGACCATATGGTCTGCAAAGACAAAAGTATATGCTATATGGCCCTTTACAAAAAACGAATTGGGGACCGGAGTATTAGACCACTATGGGCTTTTAACAACCCCAAGTGTGTGATAGCTGAATTTCAGAATCAGAAAAAGCCTTTGAAGAACTTGGGAGTTGAGTGTCATCACTAGGTAGATCAAACCTGTGGCTGAGAAAGGCAAAATGATACGTCTAAGGTCACACGCATTTGACGTGGCTTTCTGGAGCACACCATTGTTACCATTAAGCGAAGACTACGAGGGGTGAGGATAGAAGTTGAGGATAGTGAGACCATTGGGGTCCAGTCTCAAGTTGAAATGGCCGGTTGTCAGTGGCCAATTTCTGAAAAGGGGACAGGAAAGCCTCATCTCAAGGCTGATAGTGACTGAAACTTATCTGTGCCTGTAGCAGCAAAATCTGGAAGTGGAAAGCAAGTTTCCAAAGGCCCAAAGAGGCTCTCAGCGGGCAGCCTGTAATAACCTAGGGCTCCTCCATCTTCCTAGTCCACTGCAGGGGCTGGAGATGGGTGTAGTGGAGGTGGTTACTATTTACTGAGGCCTAGTGTGCTGTGTGCAACATACTTTCAAGAACTTACACAATCTCATTTGATCCTCACAGACACCATATGGAACAGGTGTTCCCATTTAAAGCTGTAAATGCTGAGGCTCAGAAAGGTTAATGACTTGCTCAAGGTCACACAGCTGTGAAGAGGTGAAGATGAGACTCCACTAGGTCGATTTCACCTGGAAACCTGTTTTTAATATAATGACTCACGGCACAGCCCATTGGTTACAGGATTGAGGCCGGCAAACAGCTGGTAAGAGGCACACAGCTGATGTCGGGTTCAAATCCTGGTCCATCGGTCCCGAGGACTAGCGGTGAGTCCAGATTGCATTTTCCAACCAAGCACAAGTTTCCTTTTCTTAAGAGTTCTTCAGCCCCGTCTCATCTTTCCAAGCATCAGAGCTCTTGAAGAGCTGGTTAGGGCCTCCCTCTCATCTCTCCAGGGCACCTAGAATAGGGTCCAGCCCCCGTGAGGACGTAGACGGTCCTTAGCCAGCCCTTGGCGCCTACCCTGGGTAGTCGATAGCTCCAACTGGGAACAGCACGGACTCTGCGTCGGCTGCCACCAGCCCGCCGGGCGCCACTTACCTGCCGCGGAGCGGTGAGGGTCCCATCCACGTCGAAGAGGCAGAGCGCTGGGCCAGGCGCTGCCATGTCCCCAGCGTCTAACCGCACCTCGCAAGACTCGTTGGCATCAGGAACTCGGCCCGGAACTTCCGAGTTCGGCTCCCGAGCCGCAGGGCACGTCGGGAAGAGGAGGAGACTCCGTTCCCACAACGCCTGGGACTAGCGCCAGGCACGATTCCTGGACCGCAAATCCCAGGGTGCAACGCGGATCACGCCCGCCTTGTACATTCGAGCATGCGCTCTTAGAGGTTCCGGGGGTCGGTGGGATTTACTTCCGGCAGCAGGCTGTGGAGCCATGGTAAGGAGGCTGGTGGCGATCCTTGAGGGGGTGATGCTCTTTGGGGGTCGGTCGGGGTCAGAGCTGGGGCAGACAGGCACGACGCCTGAGTTTCGGACCTGAAGAATCCGTGGGAGGAAGCTCTGGCGTGGGTTACCATTCGCCATTCCCGGGCTTTCTCTGCCCTCCTTGCGTCACGTGCGCACAGTAGTAATAGCTAAAACTCGCCGAGCTCTCACAGCGCATCAGGTACTAAGTTGAGAGCTCTGAAACCTTCTTCTCGCTCACTGTGTTCTGAGTCCCCATTTTGAAAGCCGAAGAAACCGAAGCTCAGGGGTGTGGAGTGATTTGCTGAAGAATCCACAGGTAGTGACTGATGGAGCCAGAATTGGAACCAGAGCTTTTACTGCTTCACTACCCGCCTAATAATATGTTTGTGCTACGTGTTGGGGCCGGGGCCTCCCTGCCTCGCTCCTCCTCCTGCTCGTTGTTTCCCCTTCCCCTGACTAGGTTAAGGGAAAGCAGCAGTTCCCTCCAGCACCCAAGATAACGTATGAATCAAACAGAATTAGAAAGTTTGTTGGGATAACTATCTCACAGATTTGTTGCTTGAGTTCCCCACTAAGACATTGATTATTCAGTTTCCTGCTTGGGGAAATGTTCACACCCCCTTGTGGATCCATTGTCCAGCCCAGAGTTGGGACTCCCTAGATATGTTTTGAATTATTGATGGCCGCACCTCCTTTCTTGTATTTATTTGGAATTGCCTGATGGAAGGACGACTCTGCTGCACTCACTGACTGTGTGTTCTTTGGTAAATATCTTACCCTCTCTGGGCTTAGTTTCCCTAGTGGTAAAGTGGAAATAGTGATAACTATCTTAGATAGCTGTTGTGATGCCCACATGAGATAACATCTGGCTTTACCCTTCCCTCCTCTGGCAATAATGGTGACCTTGCAGGATTGGCAGAAGCCTTGGAGTATGGTGCTTTGCAGATGTTCACCGTGTGATTAATGTGGTTGAATTCCATGAGAGAAATCGTCTACTGTCTCCCTTTCAGGCTGCCCTTCTCCGAGTTGTGCCTAGATTTCGGGGAAAAGCTGCGTGGGAAAGGCCTCTCCATGGGCTGTGGTGCTGCAGTGGGCAGGAGGATCCTAAGAGGTGGGTGGGGAGCAGGTCACCCACCTCGAAGGAGAAACCACCAAACCAAGAGACTGAGAAATTCTGGATGTTTTACCGTTTTGATGCCATCAGAATCTTTGGGTTCCTGTCTCGACTGAAGTTGGCACAGACTGCCCTGACAGTGGTAGTTTTGCCACCAGCCTATTACTGGTACTCCCAGGGCCTCCTGACTCTCAACACCGTGTGCATGATGAGTGGGATATCGGGCTTTGCCCTGACCATGCTGTGCTGGATGAGCTATTTCTTTCGGAGACTGGTTGGTATCCTGTATCTGAATGAGTCTGGCACCATGCTGCGGGTGGCCCATCTGAGCTTCTGGGGCTGGCGGCAGGACACATACTGTCCCCTGGCAGATGTGATTCCCCTGACAGAAACCAAGGACCAGCCTCAGGAGATGTTCATGCGTATCCAGCGGTACAGTGGGAAACAGACCTTCTACGTCACCCTGCGCTATGGACGCATCCTGGACAGAGAGCGTTTCACGCAGGTGTTTGGGAGACATCAGATGTTCAAGTAAACAACTGGGGCCTGGACCTCTGGGTAACCCTGGGTCGCCTGGATTGACAGGAAGGCTGAGGGTGTGGGCACGGCTGAAGAAAGGGGATTGGGTACTTGGAGACTTTGCCTGGGCCCCTGGGAACATGTGTTTTGTGATGAAGAAATTCACAAGGCAAGAGCTGGTGTCCAGGTTTAGGAAAAAGGCTCTAAGCAAGTTCTTACAGCACTCGTTTGTGACATTCAGTCAGATAATGGCCAGAAGTGTTTGTTAAGAGCCAGTTCTTAGAAGAACCTATGCCAGGGTCACCCAGACAGTCCATTGGTGTGAAATTGAAAGGCAAAGAGGTGTGGTGGGGGAGCATAGGATTTGAAGTCAGAAGTCTCAGTTCTGTCACTTGTCCTGGGGGGGGTTATTGAGTCTCTTTGAACCTTGGTTTTCACATCTGTAAAATGGAAAGTCCTGCTTGTTTCGTGGGATGGATGTGGGAATAAATGTCAAACGTGTGGCAGACTCAGCAGCCTAGAGCAGATAGCATTAAGCATTTGGTCAGAGGTTTTGGCATGGAGAAAGGCTTCGAGCAGTCAGCAGGGACTTCCAGAGCCCTGTGCTGTGCCCCTCACACATCCAGCAGCAGAAAGGTCTGCCAGGATGTTAACTACACATCGATGAGCAGCAATGTCGTCCAAGTGAGCACGAAACCCCATTTGAGATTTGTTCACCACCCTGAGGTCTAGAGGCTCTTGCTTTGGATGGCCCTGCAGTGTAATAAAGCCTAATGGACCGTATGCTGGTACGTTCTTTTATAAACTAAAGCCAGTTACATGCATTGCCCTGCATAATTAATAATACATGTTCATTATGCAATTTGTAACACAGTAAAGAGGAAGGAAGGCATGATCTTTATTATTTTGCCACTCGAAAGTCAATAAGAATGTTTTATTGCCGGGGGCGGTGGCTCACACCTGTAATCCCAGCACTTTGGGAGGCTGAGGCGGGTGGATCACGAGGTCAGCAGATCGAGACCATCCTGGCTAATGGTGAAACCCCGTCTCCACTAAAAAATACAAAAAAAATTAGCCTAGTGTAGTGGCAGGCACCTGTAGTCCCAGCTACTCGGGAGGCTGAGGCCAGAGAATGGCATGAACCTGGGAGGCGGAGCTTGCAATGAGCCGAGATCACGCCACTGCACTCCATCCTGGGCGACAGAGCGAGACTCCCTCTCAAAACAAAACAAAAAATAATAATGTTTTATTGTGTAGCCTTCCATTTTTCTTAACCGTACCAAGATACACCTAACAAATTTATCCTTTTACTCATATTTAAGAGTGTAATTCAGGGACATTAAGTATATTAACAGTGTTGTACAGGCTGGGCGCAGTGCCTCACGCCTGTAATGCCAGCACTTTGGGAGGCTGAGGCGTGTGGATCACTTGAAGTCAGGAGTTCAAGACCAGTCTGGCCAACATGGCGAAACCCTGTCTCTACTAAAAGTACAAAAATTACCTGGGCATGGTGGTGGGCACTTGTATTCCCAGCGACTAGAGAAGCTTGAACCCGGGAGGCAGAGGTTGCAGTGAGCTGAGATCACGCCACTGCATTCCAGCCTGGGCGACAGAGCAAGACTATCTCAAAAACAAACAGAACAGAACATGTTGTACAACCGTCACCACCATCCATTTCCAGAATGTTGTCATTATCCCAAATAGAACTAAGATACCTATTGAACAATAATTTCCTTCTTTTTCCAGCCCTTGGCCACCACTAATCTGCTTTCTGTGCCTCTGGATTCGCCTATTCTGGATATTTCATATAAATGGAATCATATAATATGTGACCCTTTGTATCTGGTCTTTTTTTTGAGATGGAATCTCCCTATGTTTCCCAGGCTCGAGAGCGGTGGTGCAATCTCCGCTCACTGCAACCTCCGCCTCCCCGGTTCAAATGATTCTCCTGCCTCAGCCTCCCAAGTAGCTGGGATTATAAGTGCCTGACACCACGCCTGGCTAATTTTTGTATTTTTAGTAGAGATGGGGGTTTCACCATGTTGGCCAGACTGGTCTCGAATTCCTGACCTCAAGTGATCCCACCCACCTTGGTCTCCCACAGTGCTGGGATTACAGGCGTGAGCCAGCACAGCTGGCCTGTATCTGGCTTCTTTGACTTGGTGTAGTGTTTTCAAGGTGCATCCATGTTGTAGCACGTGTCAGTGCTATTTCTTTTTTATGGTTAAATACATTTATGGGTGCAGTGTATATTGTCTGTATATACCACATTTTGTTTGTCCATTCATCTGTTGGACGTTTGAGTTGTCGTCACCTTTTGACTGTTAATGAATGAACATTTGGCTATTGCTATGAACACTGGTATACAAGTATCTGTTCGAGTCCCTGCTTTCAGTTGTTTTGGGTACGTACTGAGAAGTGGATTTACTGGATCCTGTGATAATTCTGTTTATTTTTGAGGACCTGCCACTTTTCCACAGCGGCTGTACCATTTTATACGCTCACCAGCAATGGACAAGGGTTCCTGTTTCTCAACATTCTTGTCAACAGTGGTTATTTTTCCTTTTTTTTTTTTTAATTTGAGATGGAGTCTCGCTCTGTCACCTAGGCTGGGTTGCAGTGGTGCGATCTTGGCTTACTGCAGACTCCGCCTCTCAGGTTCAAACGATTCTCCTGCGTCAGCCTCCCGAGTACCTGGGATTACAGACACCCACCACCATGCCCAGCTAATTTTTCTCTTTTTAGTAGAGACGTGGTTTTGCCATGTTGGCCAGTCTGGTCCCGAACTCCTGAACTCAAGGGATCCACCTACCTCGGCCTCCTAAAGTGCTGGGATTACAGGTATGAGCCACCGTGCCCGGCCCTTCACTTCGATGCTTCTATCCTGTGCTTCCATCCTTGCTTTACTGGAGTCCATTTTCGCAGCTGTCAAAGTGATGCTTAAAAACAGAATCACATCACTCTGCTGTGAAGGCTGATGGCCAAATCCACCCTCCCCTTTCCTCCCTCATCCGCAACTCTGTGGAGATCATTCCCCCAGGTCACGATTGCCTTGCTCTTCTCCAGTCATCAAGAATATTCCAGCCTTAAGGCCTTTGCATTGACAGTTTCCTCTGCCTGGAAGGCTTCCCACTAGATGCCTGCAAAGAGAACTAACCGCCTCCCCTTCAGTGTCCTCTCTGTATAACGGAGTTTCACTGTTTATGCTCAAGAAGTGTAGTGAATATTCAATTATATAGAAGAGAAATGTGCATAGCAGTTACACGTGGCTATTCATTCCTTCTGTACCTTGCCTTCACCTGCCTATCAGTTCTTCAGTGATTGTGACTCCCTTCCCCATGAAGACATAAAGCCTGTGGCTAAAAAATGTCTTAAGAAGTCATAATGATTTGACCTTAACCTCATTAAAGCCAAAAATTCTCTCTTTGTTGGGTTGTAAGTAATGACCTGAGTGAACTTCACCCCGGGATATTCTGATTATGTCTGGGGTGGGTCCCCAGGATCTGTCTTTTTGACCGGCTTGAAGCCAATTCTGAGATTCAGGCAGGCTGGGAATTTCTGAAATAGACTACTAGAACAGAAGACACCAGAGTGACACATGGTTCTGTGGACTTTGTGTTCCTGGGCCAATTTTCTGCCCAAAGAATAGGTTCTTAACACTGGCTTTATGTGTAGAATCTCCTGGAGAGTGTTTTTAAAACCCCATTGTCAAAGCCCATGACCAGGCATTTTTATTTTCACGGTTCCCTGGGTGATTCTAACGTGATTGACCATCGCTGCCCCTGAAGTATCACCACTCTGTTAAGTCTGCAAGGGGCTTGTCCTGGGAGGTGAGACCACACATTCTCACCCATGCAGGCATTCAATGTGTGGTCTGCTCACGCAGTACCAGCAGAGGGCACACAGAGCAAATGCATTATTCTAACCCTTTATCCCTAAGCTGACATCACAGATCTCCACCAGACAGCAGGAAATGTGTTACGGCTTCCGTCATGCACCAGTAGGGTAGTATCTGAGAGCTGCCCCCAAAAAACCAAAGTCAACAACAAAAGCAATAAAAGGCCAGGCACAGTGGCTCACATCTGTAATCCCAACTCTTTGGGCAGCCAAGGCGGACAGATTGCTTGAAACCAGAAGTTCGAGACCAGCTTGGGCAACATGGTGAAACCCCATTTCTACTAAAAATGTGAAAAATTAGCTGGGTGCAGGCTACATGCCTGTAGTCCCAGCTACTGGGGAGGCTGAGGTGAGAGGATCACTTGAGCCCTAGGGGCAGAGGTTGCAGTGAGCTGAGACTGTGCCACTGCACTGCAGCCTGGGTGACAGCGGGGTCCTGTCTCAAAAAAAAACATTTAAGTGTGCTCAACGCTTGTTGAATCTGGTACAACCTGGGCATCTGTTTGTTTATGCTTCCCAGGTTATTCCACGGTACCCAAGCTTCAAGAATCACCCATAGCCATGCAATAGAAGGCAAAGCAGCTTCTCAGAAAATGGGAGTTGTCTTTAGATTTGCATGGTGGATATATTGGCAGTTCCCCCCTTTAACAACAATTCTAAACACGATTGTCTTAGTTCACTTGGGCTGCTCTAACAAAAATACCATAGGCTGGATGGCTGAAGCAACATTTGTTTTTCACAGTTCTGGAGGCTGAAAATCCAAGATTAATGCATCAGCGGGTTCACTGTCTAGGAGGACCTGTTTCCTGATTCGTAGACAGGCTTGTTCTTGCTGTGGTCTCACATGGCAAAAGAGGTGAGGGAGCTCTCTGAAATTCTTTTATAGGGCACTAATCCCATTCGTGAAGGATCCACCCTCATGACCTAATCAGCTTCCAAAGTTCCCACCTCCAGATATCATCACATTGGAAATTAGGTTTCAACATATGAATTTGGGGGTGACATAAACATTCAGAATATAGCAAAAATCTAACAGAAATACTGAAGTATACATATAAGGATGTTCACTGAAATATTTCCAACAGCAAAAATACTAGTCCGGGCGTGATGGCTCATGCCGGTAATCCCAGCACTTTGGGAAGCTGAAGTGGCAGGATTGCTTGAGGCCAGGAGTTCAAAACCAGCCTGGTCAACATCGTGAAATCCTGTCTCTACAAAAGAAAAATTAAAAAATTAACTGGATATGGTGGTGCATGCCCGTAGTCCTAGCTACTTGGGAGGCTGAGGCAGGAGGATTGTTTGAGCCCAGAAGTTCAAGGCTGCAGTGAGCCGTGACTGTGCCACTGCACTCTAGCCTGGGTGACAGAGTGAGACCCTGTCTCAATAAATAAATAAATAAATAGAAAAGAAAAGTAAAGTGGGAATAATCTAAGTTTCCATTAGTAGGCCACATGGTTAAGTAAATGTTGGTAGATTCGTATTGTAGTATACATGCAGCGTTTAAAAAGAATGAGATTGTGCTATATCTGTGGAAAAGACCACGAGGTAGGTAGGTAAAAAAATAAATAAATAAAAAGCAAGTCACAGAACAGTGTAGTTCCGTGTGATCTTATTTGTGTTTTTAAAAAGTACACGTTGGCTGGGCGCAATGGCTCAACGCCTGTAATCCCAGCACTTTGGGAGGCTGAGGCAGGCGGATCACTTGAGATCAGGAGTTCGAGACCAGCCTGGTCAATGTGGTGAAATCCCATTTCTACTCAAAATACAAAAATTAGCTAGGGGTGGTGGCAGATGCCTGTAATCTCAGCTACTCAGGAGGCTGAGGCAGGAGAACTGCTTGAACCCAGGAGACAGAGATTGCAGTGAGCACAGATTGCAACATTG